CAAAAGGACGGCAGCAGAGGGGGGACAGTCAGGAGGAAGAGGAGGAGGAGGAGGAGGAGGAGGAAGGACAGGACGGCGACCACCCGTGTTTCTAAACTCCTGAACTGCTGGGTTTAAAGAGAACAGTTTTTTTTTTTTTTTTACAACTGTGCCAGAGATAAAAAGGTGAAGTGAAGAACAAAGAGAAATAAAATGGAGTGAGAGACGTGGACTCTGTCTTCTGCAGCCAAGACAGGAGACGAGAAGAGTGGGTTTTAACCAGTAAGAATGTTTTTAATCAACATCCACTGGTGGAGCTTCCTTGTTTATTTGTGCACTATTTTCTACTTCCTGTGACGAAGGAATGTTTGTAACATTTCAATGTCAACGGCTGACGTACGACACTCCGCTAACTCTGAACATTCCACTGCATAATGGAATAAAACATGAGGAATTTATACAAGGAAAATATTAAAGAAGGTATGGAGAGAGAGAGAGGGAGGGAGAGAGAGAGGGAGGGGGGGGTGAAGAGCGTTCCCTCTCCCTCTGTGGGGTGAAGAACATGCCACAGTAAACACAGAGCACGCCACAACCACAACAAACCACACACACACACACACACACACACACACACACACACACACACAGACAGCACTCATGCAGACACGACGGAAAGGCACAGAAATATCTCACAAATGTTCACTGGGTGATTGTCAGCTCCAGATTAGAGATCAGATGACAATCAGGGAACCTGATGAATGACGGTTTGTGCCTTTTTTATCAGTGACGCTCACAGTTGAGCAAAATCAGGATGGAGAGATGGAAGGAGGAGGAGGAGGAGGAGGAGGAGACAACAGAGGGAGTCAGAGAGGTAACAAGAGGAGGACAGGAAGGAAGGAAGGAGGGAGGGAAGATAGATGGGAGAGGCAACGTAAACAGAGCACAGAGTGTGAAAACCCTGTCACAGTGAGTGCCGCCGGTTGGTGACTGAGTGGAAAACAAAGCAGACATTTATATTCGCATCATTGCTTCTCATAAAGCACTGAGTCATGTTTCATGACTTATTCAAACCCAGGCAGCAGACTGACTTTGGGAGGATTCAGAACTGATCTGACAAACACATCTGAACCAGCACTACAGTCACAACTCTGGAGGTTGATGTTGGATCACTGACATCTGGCATCATTAAAAATAAAACACCCAAAACAGTTCCAACCTGGATTAAAGACGTTATCGTTACCTGGACCAGACCCTGGATCTGAATCTTGAAGTCATGTTCGTGTTTCTCCGCCCCGTCTCCGACTGTCTCTGAATCGTACTTCACAGCATATCTCACTGCCGTCTTTAAATACCAGCCCTCCCTCCTCCATACCCACCTCCTTATCTCGGCTCATGCCGCTCAGTCACGCCTTTATTCCGGTGTATATTATTCCCATTAGTGAGCTTTAATTAAAACCACACAAACTGTCCTGTTAATGGAATCAGTGCAGGACAAATCGAAACTCATTAACTTAGCGCAGGAACTCTGAGAGCAGAGAAAATGGACCAGAGATACAGTATCTTTACAGTTTTACCACGAGCAGAAGAGCAGCCGCATAATTGGAAACGATAGCGATCGCAGCTTAAAGGCAAATGTAAGGAGCGGCGTGTGTGTGCAGGCGTGTGTGTGTCCTCTCACCTTGTTCTCCCCCTCGATGACGATGACGGGCACGGAGGTGGCGGGCCAGCGGTGCTTGGCGGGGAGAGGTTTGTCACAATTCCACAGTACGATGATCTGAGAAAAAAAAACACACAAAACAAATCTTAGAAACCAAGGTAACCAAAAAAGGGGCAGAAATGTTAAAAAAAAGTTATAAAAATCTAAAATATATATTTATAAAAGAAAGAAAAAAAATTATGTTTCCTAAAACAATTTTTAAAAAATGCCAAATGTGTAACAAAACATTCTGTTAGACTTGGATGGAATATTAGCAAAATTAAAAAAAAAAAAACACATTGTCAAAACAACTGCCAAAGAATGTCCTCTGTGGATTAGAGGCAACAAAATGGGGAGCTTTTACATTTGACCAAAAAATATTTTCAAGTTTTCAGCTCAAAGACAAATTTAGCATCTTCTTTTTCTTTCTTGATTCATGACTTCATCTCACACAGCGGCATTTTGTAGGTGATGCTCCTATTTAGAGTAAAACAAATGGTAAGGTAAAACAGCCAATGAATGGTTTCATCCTTCTCAAACTCCAGATTTTTTTTTATCCAAACACATTCTTTTCTGAATCCCAAAAACCTGGAGGATTCAGACCAACCTGCAGAAAAACCTTTATTCCACACACGACTCTTTAAAATCTCCATTAAAGGAGTGAACGTGTCAGTCGTTGCCTGAGCAGATACCTGTGTTGTAGCTCATTTAATTTGCTCTAACATCTCGCAGAAACAGCCTGAGGAACCGGCGACCTTTACGTGGCCCGCTGCCTCCAAATGTCACCTTATTACAGGTTGTTAAGAAGAACCAGACGTGCAGCCGAGGGGACCATCGAGGTGACACCGATCACACGCCGATCACACGGCGTTGACGTAGCACGGACGGAGTTGTCCACCGTGGATGTTTTACCGCCACCTTCAGGTCAGCGGACACGGAAGTGCGTGGTGGATTTAACCTTCCTTGTTTGCTGTGCATCGGCAGCAGCCCCTCATTAAGGTTTAATGAAGAACACACACTCGACGTGACTCCTGTCTGACCTTACACACCCACTCACACACAGCCTGCTGCTCTCCTGCAGCTTATATTCTATGTAGTTTCAGAGATACGGCCCAGATCGTCTCGTCGTAGCCTGTGGTCATAGAACTGCTACGAATTAGTCCAAGCTAAAGTATAAACATGGGCGAGATTTAGAACTTAGTCCAGAAATGGATCAATATTAGAATAAAAATAAATATCTAAGCCAAACAAAAAAAAAATAATGTAACATCTTTCATAATGTTATACACCCCGTAAGAAATTTATTATTTTTTTATCTAGTAATTCTACTATTAATAGTACAATGTCTGTGAAGTATTACTAATAGATGTAAAACTTTAGACAGTGGTAAAACTTTTAACCATTTTTTTTTACCCCGTAAGAAATTCTGCTCTTTTTGTATGAACTTTTTTAAAACTTCAATAACTTTTTCAATATTTTTTAAATGACATTTTTCATCATAAAAGAATAACTTTAACAGCAGATTTTGCCACAAAACTGTCTTAATTCTGTTCTATTTTTTAAAACTGTTTAATAATGCAAGTCAAAAAAATATTTTTTTGTGAATCTATAAAATCTTTGAAAAAATAAATACCTGTTTAATAAGGCAAGTCAAAAAAAAAAATATTTTGTGGATCTATAAAATCTTTGAAAAAATAAATAAATAAATTGGCCATTACAGTACAAAAATGACAACTACCTAATTTTTTGTATATTTTCTAAAAAAAAAAAAAATTAAAAAAAAAGTGCAATTAAGAAAAAAAATGACAAAAATCTTTGTCAAACAACCAACTTTCTTTTTAGAATCTGCACCACGGTTTCATATCACGACCACGTCCGACGACATGGAAATACAGAACTCCCACACACAACACCAGACCAGCTTACGCCACCCCTGCTGGTCAAGGAATAAACAACGACACTGTTCACACCCACACACGCCCACACAAACACAAAACAGCCACCGGGGAGGAAACTCCATTTCATTTCCTGCACTGGTGAAGAGCAAAGAGGGAAATCAATACGTGCCATTTCCAGCCGTCCTGAAGGGAATCTGGCTGCCATGGAGACAGATGTAGCACCGCCAGTCAGTGTGCTCCTAATTCGACCCACAACAGTCAACGCACACACACACTCACAAACACAAACATTTGTTTCAGAAGGTGCAGGAAGAGCCGTCGGGGTCTGTCAGCGTCGTTTCTGCCTCGGTTTAAAAGTTGGAGTATAATTTGGACTCCAAAATTCAGTCACGTTTGTTCCCATTAAAGGTAGATTTCATTCCACCTGAACAACTGATCTGTGTGAGGGAATAATAAAAATATCCCTTTAGATTCTGGCTGTCGAAGATATTCAAACTTCTCACTGGTTCTCAGTGAAATGTTTGTCGTTTCGGAAACGCAAATGCTAAAAATATGCTAAGTTCAAGTCAAGAAAAATTGAAAAATTCTATCCATAACCAACAGACTAGAAATGTTAACCTTACCTTATAGCTCAAAAAACAACAGCCAAAAATAAAAGACTAAAAACGTGCTAACTGTTAACCAAAACAATTCAAAAGAAATAAAAAATGGTCAGAACTTTTTCCAAATAATCCAAAACAAAACCAAACCAGAGAGAGGACAATTTTTGAATCCAAGAATCTCAATAAAAATAAAGCCCAGCACGTCTTATGGAATAACATTTTTAAAAACATAACATTATTAATAAATGTTGTTTATGAGTTATATAATGTTAAACTCAGGTGTGTGTGTGTGTGTTACCTGTGCGCAGTACTGAGACTTGGCCACAGCGGCCAGGAGCTTGAGGATGGGCTGAGACTGAGAGACCAGAGGAGAGACGGCGTGGATGACGGCTGTGAACTTTGAGTACGGTTTAATTCCTGAAACACAAAACACACACACACACACACACAAACACACGCATTTTTGATAATCAGTCAAAGCTTTTTACCAAACACCGGGAAATAGAGTAGTGAAGGAGGAGGAAACTGTCAGACATCCATTTAAAAAATCCATTTAACAGTCAGGGGTTTTGGTTTTTCATCCTTCATTTCTGTTTTTTTTTTTTTTTTTTAAAGAACATTAAAATGATGTTAAATAGACACAGATGCTTCAAATGTCAGGAATCTACTTTAGACCAAACTAGTTTTAAAATATTCAACAACATTTTGTAAATGTCAAATCTCTTTACAGCCAAAAATACTGCTGCTAATATCCTCCGACCGCACGTCGGTGTACGGAAGAACTGAAGCTGAAAATGAGCGGGAAATAAGATATTGAGGAAGACGGATGGGAGAGGACGTTCAACTCTTCGCTAATTTAAATCTAATCTTGGCCAAACTAACAAAGCATGAAGTCAAGGCGACGACATTGGAGCGGTCTCCTTTATGCCGACGAGCAACCCTTGAGGAGGAGGAGAGGGAGTCTTTAAAAGTTGGATAAAAGTCGTGATTTGTAATAATAAAAGTGAAGATATGAGGGGGAAAACAGATCTGGGATTTACGTGCTCATAAACACACTCTCTGACGCAGCCATGAAGAAAATATGGAGCAGATTTACAGGAGCTGGAGCTTCTTCTAAATTTTAGATGAGCTTCCTGTGACTGGAAATAAAGTGTCTCCTCGTTTTCCTGCGTCCGCTGCAGATACTTTATTACGTTCATTACACAGGTTTTAGAGCAAGTCTTTCCCTGGATGGAAATAGAGGAAGTCTGACTTTGATCTGCTGCTGAAGAGACTTTTCTTTTTTACATTTATTCCTCAGTTCACTGGAAACTAAATCACAGTAAATGAAAGAAGTAATCGCCGTTAATTCACTGAGGGGTGGACTGTAAATTCCTTTCACTTCAGTTTTTTTTTTTTTTTTTTTTGTTATATGAGACGTTTTGAATTAGGCCTGGAATAGAAAGAAAAGAAAAGGCAGGATTGGAATGAATAAAAATTAGGAGTCGACGCAGAAAATTCTACAAACTGAGATACAAATAACTACAGACGGCCAGCTGGCAGTGAGCCAAGGCACAGACACAATAATAGCTACAAATATAAACAAAACAAAGTCGTCAAAAATGAATAAAGGTTAGCACAGAGACAGCCCAGTGTTAGCCAAAAGACCATGGACCAGTTTAAAGGTCTGTCACGTGAATAAAGAACATCAATCAACATCAACTACGACAGACAGGTTCACAGACACTGTAGCCACTGAGTGGGAGATTCTACCTGGTAATGGATGGAGCGATGTGGTTAGCGTTAGCGAACAAGCGCTTTGTTTGCTACGGGAAATGATTTACGATCAGACTGTGATACGCAGAGTGGACGATGATGTGGAGAGTGAGGGACGACGGGGCTCCATGGTCACAGAAATGTGGCGGGGGAGGAGGGG